AGCTGTCACTAGAGGCATTAATTAACGTTGATTACTGTACTCATTAATTGGAACTTAGTTAACAGAAATTATAGAATCTGAAATTTTTAATTTTTATAGACAAATTAGTGTTTTGGCAAATTTGATTTGTGTTTGATATAACTGATTGGAAACACTCAAATTCAACGGTAGCTAAACTTTCCTATTTAGTTAGAAGGTAGTATATTATTAAAATTCATTGAATTTTTTTCCTGATGTCTCTAGTTGTTTATCAATAATCTCAGTTTGTAAACATTTTAGATTGATGTCGGTGTGTAAGGAATATCATATCATCATTTGGTTTTATGCCTGTTAAAAAAAAAGAGACAAATAGTGTGAACTCCATATAAAATCTAAATGGACACAAATCAATCAAACTTCACTCTTATATTACTCAGTAAGTGCAAGTATTTTTGGTTTTACATATTAAAGTATATATCAAATAAAAGGATTAGATATCTCCTCTACTTAAAAACGTAAACTAAATTGAAATTGTAAAGCTCTTGACTAATATCATGTAATAACTGTATGCTTAACAGTAACTAAGCGTTCGAATGCGAAACAGTAACCTGTGAAGTCAACCATGTCAAAACTGAGAGCTTTCCATTGAAACCACTGAATAATGGTCGCATCATTACGTGAACCGTCTATAATCGGATAAATCCCTTACTGGTATGTTACTGACTGTAAGAAGTACAAGTTATGAGTTAGGTCCTGTAAAGTGTTTTGAGATCATAATTATATTTAGTCCTACATCAGAAAGAAAAATGCCCCTTGCTTTCAGTTGATTATTAAGAAAAACTATTTACATCTAGTAATTGATTTTACAAAACCTTTTTTAAAGCAATCAGCCTTGTTATTCAAATCAGATTTCTAAAACGGATACAAACAGTGACTGTCATTTGCGAGTTTTACAAACTGATTAATTATTTATTGTCCGTTATGTAACTGATAGGCATCTTTACTACAAATGAATATCTTTTTAAAAATTTCCCCATCAGTTCTAATTTCTTGGAAATATATTGTCGATTAGTGAACAGTTCTTTCTTTTGATATGTATTACGGGGTTGTGAAGATTGTTAAGCTTTTTTGAAACCATGAATCCATCAATTTTAGACCACCATTAGAAACCTGGAAGCACTGGACGGCCGTTACGCCCTGGTATGGGACTCCTCAGTGGTGCGCGCCCATGTCTCCTGCACTCCGCAGGATTCGAACCCAAGACCTTCGGTATTGTAGGCGAACGCCTAACCATCGCACCACTGAGCCGGTATTTAACGGTGTTAATGTCTAACTTGATCAATTCATGGAGTTGCGCAACCTCATACACAGTCTTCGGTAGTTACTGCCTACACCCGAACAGGTTGAACTTCACTGGTCACGTCTTCCCACTAGATCTCGGAGATCCCTCACGAAGCTAGTCACTCGTGAGCACAGGTAATTTGCATTACGGGGTTGTGAAGATTGTCAAGTTACACATTTTTGAAACCATGAATCGATCAATGTTAGACAACCATTAGAAACCTGGAAGCACTGGACGGCCGTTTCGTCCTGGTATGGGACTTTGGAGCTTCTATGGGCAAATCACCCATATACAACCAGTCATGTAATCAGTATTCACTTTAGAATTGTAGTAAACCGATTGTCCCGCTTTTATTTATGATTCTAAATGGAGGAACTTCCTTATAATCTTGAGAATAGTACTCAACTCGTTGAATGATTTGTAGACGAATGTTTTTGACATGAGCTTATTATATACAGAAACTAGAAATCTAAGATAACAAACACAGGAACTCGAGTTTTAGAGAAATTGTAACTCAAACTACCTATAAAATTATTTTCGAAAAGCAAGGAGAGAAATTATACGATCTACTTCTAGTGCATTCCAACTCTAAACTGGATGTGATTGGGAAACGAATTTGGTCGTATATATATATATAAATCTGAAATCAATATGTGGAATTCGACCTCAATCATTTGTACTTTTACAGTTTCATAACGCCCTAACAACATGATGCGAACTAAATTGGAATGAATTTTAAAAATCACAATCGAAATTAGACTGAATGCATGTCTAATTATTTGTACTAGACAAGAGACAGTGCAAAACTGTAGCTTATCCGGATGTGATTAAGCAAAGTACACAAGTTTAAATTTACTTTCGTCCAAAATGTTACGAATTTTAGCAATTTCTTTTGCACACACACATGGGCATGAATATTTCATGTGTTGAAATCACAGAATAGTGAATAAATACGTTTCTCGAAAGACGTTAATTACCGAGTATTTTGTCCAGTTGTCCGGTCAGACAATGAGTGAATAATAGATAGACTAACAGCCTGCGTTTTTCACTTGACCAATAGGATGAAGATGAATACTATTCGAACATTAATTAACTAAATATGGTTCTGATTACTAACGACGGGAAAATGCAAAACGTTATGCATTCATTAGATCATTAGTTTGAAGTCTATTTCACTTACTAATATTGAGATAATTTGATAAAATCTTCAATTTCGTTACAATAAATTTAGCTACTTGTGCTGATAAATCAGCTTGGAGCCCCCCCTGAGGTTACTGATGGTCACAAGCCCGGAAGAAGCTGGGCATGGGGTTGGCGATCTCATCCCGTAGAAAACGAACCCAATTAACACTGCCAATCAAAGAAAGAGAGCATTGTAGTACCAATTAACTGCTGTGACTCACTTTCTGTCCAGTCATCATGTGGACGGTGGCATACATGAAGTTACATCAGATGTTTTCCCATAATTTAAGATTATCCTACAACTTAATTCTAAGTAGCCTACCACAACCCACAGTGGAGAGTCAACTTTCTCTCTCGAAATATTTTCATGTAGCCAAGTTTATATGGTCACTGACAGGGAAGTCCCATGCACTGCTTTCTTGTGGAAAGGCTTTTCTGTTTACAAAACTGCGAGTATGAAAATAAAATACCCGATAGTCAGATCAGGTTGGTAGAAACGGCGAACACCTCTAGGGAAAGTGGGAAACCTTGATTTTAAGAACCTATTGCTGGTTACTGGGTATCATGGCATCACATCTAACGTTGCTTTACTGACTTGCATATTAGACCTCTGAGAAAAAGCCCAGCGAGCGGACCCGAAAGAATGGTAACTAACTTTAGTTTGCGCACTCGGAAGGCACCTGAGCCCACTCACAGATCCAACGATTTATGTAGTGAGTATATATTTTGGTATCCACTCTGGCCGATGTTTGTGTTTGAAACAGGACATTCGAACAGATGAATTGCTGATACACTTTGGGTGAGGGATTGTTTACTTGAATAATCATGCACATTCGTTAGCTTAAAATTTGTACTTCGGATAAATGGCTATCTCTACAAAATTTCATGTGACTAGTAGTACGGAAAAATTCGTCACACGATTGACAAATTACCATATCAGAGAGATCGAACGGTTCGAAATGAACAGACACTATTATCCACTGTACTGCCAACAAAGTTCAATTTTTCCTATCCCACAAATTCTGTAGTGACATAATGGATGTGGAATATATGAATTTCTTACTGAGCATGGCAGATACATATTCAATTATGGGTAGTACCACTCCCGTTTATAAATGCGATTTTGGAATAGCGTCGCACCTACTATAAGAATAATTTACGCCGTAAGCCCACCTGTGCTTTTGCTGGAACGGATCTCTGACACAAATGAGCAGTCACAAATACAGCACCTTTCGCGAAGACTAACCACTCAATTACAAAGGTTGAGCAAGATCCTGAAGTCGTAACTGAAGAAGCCTATTGTCCTGTTTGGCACAAAGCTCGAACATTAAAAGCCCCGACATGTAGTGTAGAGCAGAGTTTTAGGAGACCATGAATAGCATTTCTAGTACTCCATTAGTAAGCATTAGCAGCGCGAGATGGTGAAGGCATGCGAAGGTTAGTCGTGGGGATAAAAGGATGATTGATAGGTGGGGGGAGGGTTTGATCATGACCAAGTTGATCTTGTGTGTTGTTAGGGGTATGAGGACGGTTGCCGACTCCTAGTTGCCAACACCATTGAAGGATATTTCTAGAAAACTTGTAAAAAAGCTAGACTAGTGTTGCTTTTTGGGATCTGGGAGCGTGATTTCAGAGTCCAAGGGACAACTGCCTGGGGTTGGTTGCGCACATACTTTCTATAGAAAATATTGGCCCCGCTCTCCAAAAGGCCTTAGCGACGGAAGTACGTGGGGCAAGTTCAGGTGTGACATTTATAGAGCCGACCTTTTCTAATCCTTTTCATTTGTTGTGAGGAAACATCATCGTCATAGATGCTGGTTGTTATTATTACTCCTCATAACATATTCACAAAACTACTTTATACACCCGCTGAAGTTATCATGTATATGATCTTCAACTTGTACGACTACAGACCCTCAAGTTTTCACTACTTTGTTCTTAATGCCAACAGATTCACAGAAAACAGCTACTTCCCTATTTTACGTAGTAGCCTTAACCAAGAATAAAGACTATCCTTAGGATTTGTTATAAACTAAACTTTCTTCAGACGGAACGAGTGCAACATAGTCAATACTAACCTACATAAACTCTGTAGCTGAATAAATGTTGCTAACACAAATCCTAACCGATTTCTACAAGCATTATTTTATGGAGTATATTTATTTGCGACAGACATTGACTAGTGATTTTCTGTAAGTATTTGAGGATGGAACCACTGGTATAGTGCTATCGTATAATGTCAGCTGATGTCATTGAAATGATTCGTACGTATTTTGACCAGATATCAACAAAACACCTTCAGGAACAACTCACTCCGCGTCAAAATTACAACATAAATCCTTGCATCAGTATGGTTAAGGGAAAATTGAAATCTAGTTTACTATTTCTACTATTTTTCAGCTAACATTACGGCCAGGCAACCGATCGATACTGAAAAGACAGTAAAAAGTATGATTAATTAGGAATTTTTATGTATAACATAAATTACAAAAACCAATCATCCAGATTTGAAAGCGAGAATTGCAACTTGTCCAATGTATAGGTAGATAAAATGCTTGGTCTCATGGGTCACGTAACTGAAAAAGAAGCAAGAACATTATGAATTCTAGTGAAATGTCATCTAAGTTTTGATCGATGTATGAGTTAACTGTGGGTCAATTCTAAAATAGCTAACTACCTAATCGCAACCTCAAACGAATCACTGCTTCAGACCTGACTGTTTAACCGATTAATAATAATAATAATAATAATAATAATAATAACTATCGGACGAGTTTACTGCGCAGCAGTTTGGCCCATCCTACTTTAAGGGTGTAGAAAATGGACATAGGTGATAGATGTAGGTTACTAGTATTCGATGGATGGCTTCCAAGTATTGCTCGTACATCCTGGGACAAGTGAGTGAGCAGTCCTGAGGTTAGGAAAAAGGGTGCTACTTAAGGATGGCAAATCAACTGATGGAGTAGTAAAATATTATCAGTTGAGGTGGTTTGGATATGTATTACGTGTGCCCAAACAATCACCGACTACCTCGATGAGCGCTGTCTGATGTAGGAGTGGGTTGGAAGAAAGATAGGGGTAGCGAAACCAAAACACGGCACAAATCCATGAGGTCATTAACATGTGGACTGAGCCATGCTAGGTGTAGACTACCTGGTTGGTGTCCGTGAGACAGTTGTAACTGGTGGTTAGAGACTTTCAATGACATGGCTCAAAATCGCTTGCAGTAGCGCAGGCGCACTCATTCTGTCTTCTGTCAAATCTTATTCTTCCAAATCCCTTCTGGCCTTCTCCTTCTTTATAACTTTATTTTAAAGGGTTATACTTCTCGAATCAGATCTTCGAACCCTAATCCTTTCTATTACCGCTAACACTACCACTACCTCTACCATTATGGGACTCAAGTCGACAATTCCATCTCTCTGTGCTAATGTGGTATGGCAACGTCAACTGAGGTACGTACGTACCAAGTTCTACGTTTTAGCTTGCTAACTGAGGAATCTGACCTTAAGCCAATAAGTTCCAGGTTTGAAAACAGCTCCATCAACCTCGGTTTAGGAAACCAGGCAGTTTCCTTAATGCTCATACTCATACTCAAGTACCTGGAGAATGAATGACTTTTAGATAACTGGTCAGAAAAGGTAATAGTCACCTGCAAAATAAATGTTATTGAAATTGGCCTAACTTTCCGTATTAGCTCAGCTGTCAACCAAAACTAGTTTAGTGAGATTGTTGTTGCATCAACTAATCCTATTTAGAAGCTGAGACCAAAGTGAAACTCAAACGTTTGAAGTATGACAAATGCTCTTAACAGGCATAACCAAAGCCTATGAAGAGCGAACTCGAGAAAACCATGCAGGTTTCAGAACTGGACATAGATGTATAGACCAAATAAACACCTAAAATTCTCTACATGTTCTGAAGCATAGACATCCTTTCTGGTGTTCGAAGATCGTGTGTACCTTAACCTTACAGCTGCATTTGACTCTGTTGATCGTGACGTTCTGTGGCGATTCCTGGGATTGGAAGACATACCAAAGAAGTAGCCTGACTTTTTACAAGCTCTCTACTAAAACATTACTGGTCGAGTGAGAGCTTACTACGAGCTTTCATTGGAATAGATTAGTAAAAGTAATGCTCATCAGTTTTCTCTTAAATCCTGAAAACCTGAATTTCTCGTATCATTTTTTATTTCATTGGTTTATATTTTCTTGAGTCTCATCTTTGATTGAAAATCTTCCATATTATCAGTGATCCTGTTACCAACTCGACTACTTTGGGACTTTAGTTTCGCCTCTGTACTGTGGTATGGCAGCTTGAAGTAATGTACGTCTGCACCAGGTTTTACGTTGAAACAGACTAATTGACAAAGACAAAATACGAGACAAGAAACTACGCCTAACCACCGACTGCCTCGACGGGCGGCCAAACCAAAACATGGCAGAAATCCATGAAGTCACTGACAAGTGGATTGAGTCATGTTGGTAGATGTAGGCTACCTGTTTGGAGTCCGCGAGACGATAGTCACTGATGGTTAGAGACGTTGAACGACATAGCTCAGAATCGTTTGCAGTGGCACAGGTGCATCCACTCTTTGTATTCTATGAAATTCTAAGCTTCTGCATTCCTCATAATCTCTACCTTTCTCCTTCTAAATTTATCTTACTGAATTATACTCTTCGAATCATATCTTCGCTCCCTAATCTTCTCCATTACTGCTAATACTTCTATTATTGCTATCACTCTTGGATTTGAGCTGACAGATGCGTCTCTGTGTTGATGTGGTATGGCGACATGAACTTATGTACATACGTACGAAGTTCTACGTTGCAACTGACTGACTGACGCCCTATTTATTCATATACCTACAAAAGGTTTAAGGGAATATGGTAATACACCCTAAAATATCATTACCGATTGACTAAGTAAAGGCTAACACAGCAATGTGTCACAGCATCAAAACAACCATACGGTGAGGTCATCTATTCACAATAGACTATACTTCACCAGTAGAAACAATTGAGAACACTGATGAATAAGATGCTAGTGGTGTTTCTTAAAAGATCAAGAAGAGATGATTAGTGACCGATCCCTTAGCTCTGTTTTCATTCATATAACTGCCGTCTATTTCTGCGACATAATTGACTATGGCATGATATAAGCTAAAAATGACGATTGAACAGAATGTTTCTAAGAGGAATACAGACTAAGTGAACAGATCTTTTTGTAAGTGTAACAACCACTAACCACTAAAAAAGTTAGCCCCAAATGATTTAAAATATAGTGCGCCGTCTAACGACAAATAATGGGTTTCAATATATTACATGGGTCAATCAACGACAAAACTTGCGTTTGAATAGATTGAGCTACTCATTTTTGAATGATGATAATAAATTAAATCCAATATAAGTTAAAACTAGCTACTTTTGGCTTACTGACCTATCTTAAACCACAACCGTATAAGAATTTATATGGCACAGTAATAAACTAAACAACAAAACGCCTAAAAACTAAATACCAGTTACCTGCCGAAGTTCCTTCCAACTATACAATGCCAGGTTGGATTGTACTTCTTATCGCATTCTTTTTTAATAAAAGCAGCAATATCTTTCTCTATGCTATACTTTTCCAAAGCTTCACTACAAATTGACACCAGATCACTTTGCATATCTTCCGACATATCAGCATTTTTAATCACAGCTTTCTTATCAGACATTTTTGCTGAGACACTAGATAATAGAAGATCGAATACTGAATTTATATCTGAGTAGGCGTCAGTCTATATAATGATTGTTTTCACATGTGTATGAATAAACTAACCAATCAGATATGAGTAAGGCAAATGTTTACAGTAGCTTGGCTTCATACAATGTTTATTCGTATCGTGGATTGGGCTAGAAACATCATTTTAATTTGGTTTTGTCTTTGATTGGTTTACTGGATCAGTTTTTTTTTCGAAAATGTTGCTCAGCTGAGGTCTGTACTCAAGGAGGCAGTTTTATGAACGTAATTTAGTTAAAAATGTGAGAAAAACTGGACTCGTTCAATTATATAGATACTTTCTTTGCTCGTTCGTGAAACTATGTCCGTGTTCATTCTAGAAACACTGACAATCGTTCAAATAAATTTCATTGATTGTTGTTAACATATCCTTTCATCAGGCATATAATATACACTTCAGAAACAAGGCATTAATATTTTTACTATCGGTAACGTCATGATCCATGAACATAAGATTTAAACACTTTCAACTTTGTTTCCAATGTATTCTGTCTTCCCTTCGAACATAAGTTTCTAAATTTCCCATAAATATTCTATTATTTCATTAATTTAAATTTCCTTCGAATTGTATCTTGGAAAACCGATCCTTGCTAATACCACTGATACTGTCACTACCCGTATTGATGTGGTTCACGATGAAAAAGTACGTAGAGTGGTTCAATATCCCATTTTTCGACATATTATCCGGAGCGGATGTAGCGTATGTAGTTTTCGAATAACACTTAATGGTGATGTATCACATTACAAGAACTAAAATCCCGTAAAATGATTGGAGAATGTTTAAAGGATACCTTAAACTTACATTTCACTCTAGTGAATACTAGTCAACAAGGCTAGTTTGGATTATTGGAGACTGAAGTGTGCCTCACTGACTGGGCCAATCGGAAACATTACTACTGAAACATTTATCTCTTAATTGAAACAAGACTGAACTGATTATATTTATCTGTTACTGTGTAATGTAAACATTGTAATTTTCTCTTGTCATTAAGAATGATTGTGTACCATCATGTCTGCTTCCATTTCTCGGCATAACGTGTTATTTGGTCAACCGGTTTTCATCTGGCCTTGATCGTTCAAAGTGAGGGCTTGCGTCGAAACGTAGTTGGGTGATTTTTGCAATGTATCCTATCCAACTTGAGCACATATTCCTATTTTCTCCCTAAACTGGTGTTTGGTTTGTTTTCTCTCATAGTGGGTTGTTAGTGATGGTGTATGGCCAACAGATCCTGAGTATCCTAAAAAGAAAACTGTTAATTAACACTTGTATTTTATGAATGATGGTCTTCATGGCTCTCCAAGTTTCTGCCCCATGCAGTAGAACTTTTTTCACGTTCGTATTGAAAATTGTGACTAAAGTGTTTGTTGATAATTGTTTGGAGTTCCAGATGTTGCTCAGTTATAGAAATGCGGTCATTGATTTCCCGATCCGAGCCTTCACATCCGCATCAGATCCACCTTGCTCGTCGATGATGTTTCCCAGATATGTAAAGGCTTCTACATCCTCCTAAGCATCTCCATCAAGTTTGATGTGGTTGGTGCATGTTATGTTGTATCGGGGGATCTTGCTTGTTACCTTGTGTATGTTGAAACTCGCTGCTGCAGACATATTTATGTTGACACAGTGTTAATCATAAACTGATCTTACTTAGACCACCATTAGAGATCTGGAGGTACTGAACAGTTGTCTCGTTTCCGTATTGGACTCAGAAGTGAAAATCAACGATCTTAGGACCTCTCGTCTCGGATATAAACACATAACCCCTAAACCACTGACCCAACATCCAACAGTGTGGAGACCAGAGAACAAGCGATCACGGTAACTAATGATTACACTAGAAAAAATCATTACGTAATACCGAAAGAAGCAGTAAATTGTCGGACAACTAGTCGTTATATTTAGAAAATAAGTTGAGTATTAATAAGATCACTAAAAAGATAAAAACTAATTGATTGCTATGGCACTGAAGGGCTTGTGAAACCTTCCTTCTGTACACACCTCTCACCTCCTTTAGTCTACACAACTATTTTTTAACATATATGCCAGCGTAAGTGTTTCAAGGTAGAGGTAATAGGTAAACCTGTCTGATATCAATGGACTCACTTATTTTAACATACACTGACCGTTAGTTTGATATTTGGTTTGGCCGAGTACAACTTACTACTGATTTGGCAAAATTCATCCGATGTACATAATTTTATGAAGATTGTAAGACTTAAAGGGTACAGAATGTGTGTCTGTGAATTTGTAAGATATTTGCTTCTCAATGTTCAATACATGTCCAGTGTCCAGTGATTTTCATTTCATTTGGTGAGTAGATGTTGCAACTAAGTACATAATTTTCATTGAAGATTTAATTTCAAGCTCTAACTTTCATCTTATCTCGTTTTCGCCCGAAAGCATTTCAAACAAAAGCTTAGAAGTGGTGAAAAACAAAGATACAATAATTCTTGCATTAAGTAAAAATACAATGAAAATATAAACAATAACTTTAGGTAGAACAATTCCAAAAATTTAGATTTGATCAATATTAACCGCATTATAGAAGTGAAAAGTATGATTGACTGTTTGTAGTTCATGTTTATGGAGAATATTTAAAAATTTTCCATACGTTTTATAGTGATCATATTTTTTAGAACTCGGGACCATTGATATTATTGATCTATTCCTATACTCCATTATTTAGGTTCATTTCTATTATGGTAAACAAATTTTGAATTTTTTTTATTGATATCAATACTACTACTGCTACTTACTTACTTACTCACTTACTTGCTCACGCCTGTTACTCCCAAAAGAGCATAGGCCGCCGACCGGTATTCTCTAACCTGCTCTGTCTTGGGCTTCAGTTTCTAGTTCCGTCCAATTTTTATTCATTCTCCTCATGGCTGTCTCCATTTCTCTGCGTAATATGTTTCTTGGCCTTGCTCCTTTCTTTTGACTCGGAAGGTTCCAAGTGAAGGTTTGTCTTGTGACTCAGTTGGGTGCTTTTCGCAGTGTATGTCCTACTCACTTCCAGAGCTTCCTCCTGATTTCCTCCTCCACTGGCATCTGGTTTGTTCTCTCCCACAGTAGGTTGTTGGTGATGATGTCTGGTGGCTCAAAGCACCCTTACATGTTGAATTGATTGCCTCTTTGATTCCTTTCCCAATTGTTCTCCATGGTTTTTGCCTCTCCACTGAGTAGATCGTGCAAGGCCTGGAACCTGTTTCTGAGGGTTATCTTGAATTCGCTGAGTTTTACGGCATCCCGAAAAAAGGCCGTATTAAACTTGTGTGATGTTGTCTGCCCCGTTGTCCAGTGCTTATTCAGTTTCAGTTTCATTTTGGCGATCAGCAAGTGGCGATCTGAGGCTATGTCAGCTCCTCTCTTGGTTCTCACATCCCCTATGGTCCTTCTGAACCTTTTTTTGATACAGATATGGTCAATTTAGTTTTGAGTAGTGTGGTCCGGTGAAATCCATGTGGCTTTGTGTATGCGTTTGTGCGGGAATATTGTGCCACCGATGACCAGTTTGTTGAAGGCACATAGGTTTGCAAATCTCTGAACATTTTCGTTCATTTCTCCCAGTCCATGTCGTCCCATGATGTCTTCATATCCATTATTGTCCATGCAAACCTTGGCATTTAGGTCTCTCATCAGAGTCGTCAAATCCTTTAATGGGTATCGTTTGATGACTGACTGCAGTCTCTCGTAGAATTGATGTTTAACGTCATCATTGTAGTCGTTCATAGGTGCATAGCATTTTATGAAGTTCATTTTAATTCCTATTTCTTCGTTTTGATGGATGTCTTGATGAGCCTGGGTCCATGAGATTCCCATCCTATTATTGCATTTTGTGCATGTTTGGACAGCATCAGTGCAACTATTTGTGTGTGAGACATTTTCTTCTTCATGACCGCTGGAATATAACAGCAGCTCTCCTGAAGCTAGTCTTAGTTGTCCAACTTGCATCCAGTGCGTTTCATCGATTCCAAGCACCTCTAGATTGTATCTTTTCATTTCTACAGCAACTTGAAATAGTCTTCCAGTCTCCCACATTGTTCGAATATTCCATGCACCTAAAAGAACAGTTGCTCTGGTTGTGAGAAGGGAAATCGGCCTCGTGAATTTCGAATGAACTAGGCTTTCATCATGAGCTGTCGTAACTCTTCTGACTGGAGACCTCCTAACTCCCAGGGAAGAAATGAAACGGTTTGAATTATGACTTCTGGTTAGCACTTTTTAGCGAGTTAGTTTTTTTATAGGATGGAGCCACCAACCCCAAGACCAACCCTCCTCCTTTATCCATGCTTGGGGCCGGCAGTAACCTCAGAGGGGGCTCTAGTCGGGTTTACTACTATTACTGTTACCATTACTATTACTATTGCTACTATTACTACTACTACTACTACTACTACTAATACTGTGGTGTGAGCTACTTATAAGTAGTATATGACGTGAGTGTAAACGTAATGTCTGGCAGCAGAAGATGGGGGAAGATCAAGAAAGGAAGTGTGGGAACACAATGGAATTTGTATGAAATGCATGAATAAGTGAAATGTCAGACAATGGATTGATGATTGATTGAAGATTTGCAAATTAACCATTTACGATATGGTTTTCCAATTTTACTGAGTAACTCTGTAATTTTTCGCTAAATACGAATCGGTTGCCCCACCTGCGTTTTCTTTCACTACACTACTACTACTTCATATGTACGTGAATATCATGTAGCCGATACTTGTTCGACACTAAATACAGAATACGAAGGTTTGATATGTGATTAACGTATGTATTTTACACGCTGGAGAGTGGTCTCACTAGGACGTTGACTTTTTACGTATTTCTTTTGAATTATTAGTTTAAATGATTAATAATGTACAAACATTTAATCAACTATTTTCCTTTTGAAATTGAATAAAACACAGTAAATTGTGTGTGTGTGTGTGTGT